CACTCACACAGCACCCCACACACAGCACCCAGACACAGCACCCCCCAGACACACACAGCAACCCCCAGACACACACAGCACCCAGACACACACAGCACCCCCCAGACACACACAGCACCCAGACACACACAGCACCCCCAGACACACACAGCACCCCAGACACACACACAGCACCCAGACATACAGAGCACCCAGACACACACACAGCACCCAGACACACACAGCACCCAGACACACACAGCACCCCCAGACACAGGGCCACAGCACTCCAGACATGTGCCCCCAGACACACACAGCACACCCCACATGCTATACAAAGCACACACACATATATATATATATATATATATATATATATATATATATATATATATATATATAGTATATATATAAAATAACCCTCAGTGAGTTAACAGACAAAGAAAATTAGAAACCTAGAATGTGACAGCAGATAAAAACACCCTCACACACAGCACCCCTCTTACATACACACACTGCGCCCCACACATACAATAAGTCCAATATATATATATATATATATATATATATATACACACACACACACTACAGCACACACTGCACCACTACACACATTACGCTCCAGATACACACTAGATCCCTTACTCTATATGCACTCTTTATCCTCTATACACACACACACACACACACTGGGTCCTTTACACAGTAGATCTCCTACACACACACACACACTACATTACTTGTCAGCAAACACATACAACATTCTCTAAACACACCCTCTCTGCAACCCCTACACACACTATGTCACCTATACACACACACACTTCAGCCCGTATGCACACACTCGCTGCATCCCCTATAAAACTATGCCCCCTATACACACACTCTCCACAGCCCCTAGCCACACATATTACACCACAAACACAAATTAAATTGACCTATTTATACAATACCACACCACACTCTACACACACGCAATCCCACAAGCAGGCTCCAAACATGCACCATGCACTTTCCTGGCCCTTTTGTCCTCTGGTATCCCACTTGTGGAGACACCAGAGACAATTTAAAAGCAAACACAGCGCAAGCATGTTATTAAATTTGCTTGCGCTGCGCAGAACAAATTCAGGGCCTTTTTCTAATGCCAGAGCTCTTCAGCAGGGCTCTGGGCATTGAACCAACATGCTCACTTTGAGAGGGGGCGTGCTTGTCATTAGTGATGACAAAACACACACTCTCTGGCCCCGCCCCCTTCTTAGGGGGCCGCTCTGATTGAAAAATGCCCGGGCCTAATTTTTTTCCCAGTCCGGCCCTGCTCATGATGAGTAAATTTATTTGATTAGAATGTCTTGCAATAGCAAAGCAGCTGATGTAACTTCTTAACATATTTGTTGTCTACTTCAAAACAGTAGACATGTCTCTCTAAAATAGGACAACCTTATCATGCTCTGATGTAAGAACAAAGCTGCAGAGGTGACAGAAGGGCTGGATAGAAAGGTGGGCATTCTGGGAAATATTTAATTGACAAAAAGTGAAGCTTTTTGAAGTAAGCTACCATTTGTCAAGAAATGTCAAGTAGTCCCTATTTTGTCTTATTATTTTTAAATAGAAATGAAGAAAATAAGAACAGTTTATGAGAGAGGAAATTAAGAGGACAGAGCTGCTTTGAGATGATATAGCGTATTGCCTGTATTAGCAAAGACTGAATCCAATGATCAACAAGTTGTATGATCAAATTAACGCCTGATATGACAAAGCTGCTTGCCCATGCCGCTGTCCTCTCTCGCCTTGACTACTGCAATCTGCTTCTCAGTGGTCTTACTTGTTCCCAACTTGCCCCATTGCAATCTATAATGAATGCGGCAGCGATGCTCATCTTCCTGACCGCCCGCACCTCCCATGCCTCATCCCCTTTGTCAGTCCCTACATTGGCTTCCTGTAAGATATGGGGCTAAATTTTAGTTCCTGACACTTGCTTACAAATATCTACACAATGCTACTCCCACCTACTTATTCTCACTAATACACAAATATGTCCCGTCTAGACCCCTACGCTCTGCTGGAGACCTACGTCTAACCTCTGTTCGTACGCCTACCTCTGATGCTCATCTTAAAGACTTCTCTAGGGCTGCACTGTTCCTATGGAACGCCCTTCCCCTCTCTGTTAAACTTTCACCCAATCTCCAAATAAATCTTTTAATACTTACTTCTTTAGGAAAGCATATCAATTAAACTGTGAACAGATTTCCCTCCCCTCATCCTGATTCCTCTCCTGAAACTGTCATCAAAACAAAACACTAAGCCCTCAGTGAATACTATCCTAGCAACCTACTTTTCTACCCACCCTTACCTTTTGTGTCACGGTACCCCACTCCCTCTAGCACAGGGGTCCTCAAACTCTGGCCCCCCAGATATTGCTGAACTACAACTCCCATGATTCTCTGCCTATCTATGTAATTCAAAGATTCATGGGAGTTGTAGTTCAGCAACACCTGGGGTGCCGGAGTTTGAAGACCCCTGCTCTAGCATGTAAGCTCATTGAGCAGGGCCCTCAATCCTCTGTTCCTGTGTGTCCAACTTGTCTGGTTACAAATACGTATCTGTTAGTCCACCCATTGTACAGCACTACAGAACTTATTGGCGCTTTATAAATAATAATAATAATATAAACTTAGAGAGCAGTTGCCTAGAGTGTCTTCGTTTTAAAAGAAGCTATGTATACTGATCGCTTTTGCTGTGGTCATCACTTCATCGAGCCCTTTTTATTCAACGAGTCAGCATTAAGTACACTTGCCAGCTGGATTTGAAGGACAGGAGTAAATGTACTTAAAATATACAGACTTCACGTCTGTGCAATTGCTGCAATGTGTTCATAAAAAAAGAGAATATTATAAAATGCCTCTTGAAATTTATTTTTTTTGTCGTAATAAAAAACAATTGTACACTATAAAACATTGCAAAAGGACTGTGCCAAAAACTATTAGCTTCCAAGTTTCATTGATACAAAGGGTCTTATGAGTTTACAATGTTCTGTTATTGAGGATATAGATCCATATAACTGTTTTCAGTTAGTGAGTTCCAACAGCAGGAGGCTGACTTTAGAAGCTGACTCTGCAATAACTAGACTAGAATATCATTTGTTTCCAGTTTACAGAGTGTCTCTGCTTTATGGAATAAATACACTATAAATGCTTGCTGCCTGTTTTGAAAATAGGACAAAATAAAGATTCAGGATGCTGGAGGTTTGTCTGGAGCACAATTATAGCATACATTCAATTCAAACCCATTTTAATATATTAAATAAAAAAGGGGAAAAAATGAAACTTCTGGCTCCTTGTTTCTACAGCAGAGAAATGTTTCTCAAAACTATTTAAAGGGATACTATGAGAACCATAACCACTTATACTTCTAGCACAGGGGTTCCCAATCCATTTTTCATGTGGAACCTTTTGACATAGTGTACCACATTGTGGAACCCCCAAAACATTTTTGTGCAAACCTTTGAATTAGCAGAGTGTCTTTTATAGCAAATTTTGTTTTTTGGTATACATACACTATTTTTTACAGATAGTAAACAGACTAGGAGCAGTTGGTGTTTGTATAAAATGTTAGCATTTTAATACAGGGGTGTGTTTGTATGTAACATTTGTATTTGCGTGCAGGGCATATTTCGATGTAGTGTTAGCTTTTAAATGTGGATGTACATCAGTGTGTAGTATTGGTGTTTGTATATAAATTTGGAGTTTGAATTCAGGGGTGGTTTTTATGTAATGTTTGTGTTTGCAGCGGTATGTTTGCATGTTGTGTTGGTGTTTGATTGCTGGGTTGTATGCACATACACTGCTTCATACATACATACTTACACAGATATACATACACATTAACACACAGATAGACACATATAAACACATTGATACATACACACAAAATTATATACACACCTGGACACATGCACACACCTTGACACACAGATGCACACACTAACACACATATACACACACACTGGCACATACACACACACTCATCTTGACACACACACATGAAAACACACACACACTCAGATACACAGAGATATGCATGCTTGGATACATATACTGTTACACAGATACACACACACTCAGATACACACACTGGTACACAGATACACACATTGGTACATACAAAACACTCAGATACACACAGACACACATACTCAGATACACATATTGTTACACAGATACACACACTCAGATATACACACTGGCACACACATACATACTCAGATGCAACCTGGCACACAGATACACACACTGGCACATGCACACAAACCCAGATACACACTGACACACAGATGCAATGGTATCTCCCAGACAAAGGAAGCCAACACACAAAACCCCACAAAACACACAGAACACAGTAATGCATCCCGTACATTCATGGATAGCTCCTGGTCCGAGTTATGTTCCCTGAAAATTTCGGAGGGATCAGAAGTTCAGAGCTTGAGAAATCATCATGTAAAGTGAGCTACTGCCTCCAGCCTCCTCCTTACTCCCTCCATTACTCCCAAGCAACTGTGAAGCTGGGAGGAAGTGACAGACCACTACTTCCTCCCAGTCGGCTGATCCTACAGTCTGGACCCCCGTTTGTCGATAATACTAATCGGGTGGCCCTAACTGCATAGTCCATGGGCAAAACACGTCAAAACCACAAATTTATTCTTGCAGTACCACAGGGTTCCACGGAACACCAATTGGGAAACACTGTTCTATTATGTGGTGCACCTGTTTGTTTTCTCTCAATACCTTCCCTCATATTTTCTCCATCTGCATATTATGGAATGTCGACTTAATAATTATAATGTACTGAATAAGTTAACACATTCCTGTGCAGGGTGCTGTTTTCATTAGCTGCAGAACTGGCCAGCACTTATTACAGTGTAGTTGCTGGGTATTATTAAATCTTCTCATAGAGAGGCATTGAGGACAAAATCTCCAGTACAAAGCTTCTCATAAATATGGGTGGTTTTATCCACATTTTGGGATTTGTATATATAAAAAAAACATACTTTGGGACTGTATTAGTTAACTTTTGAAGTATCTAATTTTATTTTGTTTCCATTAAAATAGTGACTTGCTGTAGGAAACTGTTCTGACCTAAAGTTCTTATCAGAATAAGTCAACCAAAGAGGTACTCTAGATCAGTGCTCCTCAACCCTCTCCTCAAGGCACATGTAACAGTCCAGGACTTAGGGAGAACCCAGGTGTGTCTAAAGTGTTTAGAAAAAGAAAAAAAAACACACCTTAGAGTCTAAGGTGTTTTTATTTATTTTTTGTTTTGTTTTGTAAACACCTTTAGGTATTTCCTAAATCCTGGACTGTTAGGTGTGGCTTGAGGAGAGGTATGAGAAGCACTGCTCTAGGGCACTAAGTTTCCCCCTCCCCAAATATTACAATAGATCCATATGCTGACCATGGGTGGGGACAATGGGAAATATAAGGGTGTCTCCACCCCTTTTTTATTAAATCGCCACCACCTGCTGACCAGGTAGCATTCAGATCTGGACATCAGCCGTCTGGTAGAGGTCAGTCCAGCTGAAATCTAGCCCAAATCCAGGTCCAAAAACATCTGCCTGCATTCAGGACCATTCAGACTGCAAAATGAGGAGATTTAATAAGCTTTCCAAATGATTCAATACTGTTAGAAAAGCTAGCTTTCAACATGATTTATCTACAAATATTCCTAAAGACTTTAATTGTGGTTTCTGTAGCTAAATAATTTATTTACTGTACGGAAATTTTTCTGTAAAAATAAAAATAAAATTCCTCTTCTTTGAATAATATATCACAAAACTTAAAAGGGGTGTTTGCATGGAAGTAAAGGGCTGCATATAGTTTTTGCACTGAAAGCCTGATCCTAGAAAAGTTAATTAACATTATTGCTTCTATATTTACACAAATCATACCGCCATGTTTGGTCACAAATAAAGAAATTCAATATTTCCAAATAGGATTAAATGATAGAAAGTCATCACATCCTGGTAGCAATTACATAGAAATTATATCTCAAAGGCAATTTAATTATTTCTGAGAAAACATATTAGTTTAATAAGTCAGTAGACTAAATATAAGAATAGAAGTACATTTTGTTTGAATAAAATCAGGCAAAAATCTGAAAGCTGGTGCTTAGCTCATCTCTGCACTATATATATATATATATATATATATACAGCATTCTGTACATTTCAGTGTATTCTATAAAATTCTTACTGCAAGTGTTTATAGATGGTGCTTATAGCAAGGGTTGAGAGAATCTTTTGTTACCATTTTTATTCTTTGATTTAAACCCATACTTTAGCAGAGCTGTGCGTTTCCAGTGGAGTCACTTTTGACATCTGAAGTGCTTGCGCAGTCCCAGACAGATCATGCGGCTTACTAGAGGCTCTTAGGGATATAAAATGCTGTTTATTTCTGTGCTGATAAAATATATAGTATTATCACATCTGGAATGCATGTAAAAAGCGGAAAAAAAATCATTTAGTATTTCAGTCTCTAAAGAGCCCTAGAAATCGAAGTCTGCCACCTGCAGGTCACTGTGTACATATTGGCCAGGACTCAGGAGCTAAGGAAAATACTTTCAACTGTTTATCATTGAAACTCGTTCTTATTTAAGTAATCTCATTTATATAGCTGCAACATGATACAGTGGGATATCTAAGATTACAAATTACAGTGCTGATAAGCTGAAGGCAAAACAGTAATCATATGCACGTAATGTATGTGTGGAGTTAAAATTACAAATTGAAAAAGGCGAGAATTTGGCCCTAGAGCTTACAATCTGTTTATTTTAATCATACATAATTATTTTTATTATTGAATGTATTTTCTGTATACTGTTGATTTGTGATAAATATAGCACATTTATATTTGAGGAGACTATATTAGTGTAAAATGTTAATTTCTGTTAACACTAGTGCCAGTACAATAACTAATGCCAGTACAATAATTAATTTCCAAAAATGCACCTTTTGTCATGATGTTTAATATGCATTTTCTTTATCTTCTAGACAGGATAAGTAAAATAAGTGTGCAGGTGATATTCTAAACAATTAACCCTTTTATTTGTGTTGGGTCATGTATTTCTTGCTGGGTTGGTTATTAAAAATATGCATTAGAAGTGAACGTCTCAAATGTCACTTAATTGTACTATTGTCCTTATTTATAAGTTGGACATGTTGCATTTTGTTTATTTGTCCCTTTACCTCCACATAGCCTCCAGCTAGTGGAAGGAATTAGGGGTAATTAGAAAAGTGGTCAGAGGGCTAAGTGCCAGGATGGGGAAGGGATATAAATTGAATAACATTGCAAAGCTAAACCATAGCTGCCCAGCTTCAGCTCTATATCAGCGGCCTCCCTGCCCATTACTCTCACTGCTTGACTGTCATAGCACTCAGGTACCACTAATTCAGTGCTTCTCTACAGGAAGCATTGAATCCAGTCCTTCCTATAGAGACTCATTGAAT